TACCTCATTCTGGAATACATGCTAAGCCTTTTTCTGTCCTCATCACCCGGTACAAGAGAAAATGTTAAGAAAATGCTTTCAAACAGTTAAAGATCAAAAGGGAGACTCTATGTCACAGGAAGACCATGGTTGAGAAAAATTAATCATAGGTAGTTTCAAATGTTAAAAAAAAAACAAAACAGCACCTTCAATAAAAAACAGCATACTGGCAATTAAGACAGAAATTCCAGCAGAAAAACATAGCAATTACGGATAGCATTTCAAGAAGAAAAATGTATTATAATGAAAAATCAGAACTTTCATGGCATCATCCATGTAGGCATCTGAAAGCATGTTCCAGGAGTGCTGAGAGGTCCCCAGGTGTGTGATGGCAGGATCTGGCAGGGCATCCCTTGGGCACGGGATCAGCCACAGCCCTGGGATGAGGCTGACACTGGCCAGGCATGGTGGGAGCTGTGGCTCAATCAAGGCCAAACATCAGAGGCTCATTTTAAAAGCAGCTCCCACAAAAAGGGGCTGTGGCATCCCCAGCATCCCCAGCCACAGAAGGAAGAGGATATTTTCATATTTCCAAAAATTTCCATGTTTCCTCCATAATGGGGAAATGAACTCAGAGCCCCAACATGTATGGAAGTTTGAGAAGCGCCTCAGTCTTCTGCTGAGAATAGATGCTTCTGCCTATATAGGGATGTATCAGTGTTGAGCAATACCGGATTGGATAGGAAACTAGGTATGAATTTCCAAAAATGCAAGAGAGCAGTGTGAAAATAAAGATTTTTGTTGGACAAGTGGTTTCTGGCTGCATGAGATTTGAATTGGTTGACAAAACTGTAAAATCTTCCACCGCAGGATGAGTGTGTGTGTTTATAACAAAACTCAGGCATGCTCAGTGAACCAGCAAATAATCCACTGTCACCAGCACGGCTATTAACCATCTGCAGGGATCTTTTAGTGTAATAAAGCTGGACATGGAAATGTGGCAATGGCTTTATTACTCAGGAGCGTGCTTTATGTTCCTTTAAACATGTAAAATGTCTTTAAAATTAAACAACTTCTTACAGCCAAAATGCCTCATTTTTGTTTACAGGTGATCTCCACCAATCTGAGTTGCATTGTGAAAGGGGTGTACATGTGGTAGTCAGCAAATAGAATGATGTGCCTGTATTACTATCTAAGTAGATTTAACTTTCAACTGTCTCATTAGTATTTTGTTTTGAATGTAATACACCAGCAATTACTCCCTTTGCTCCCTTATTAATATTTTAGGACTGTATCATCTTGTTTTCCTCAGAGGTACAGGAAGCAGCAAAAAGGAAGAAACTCATCATTGAGCTGTTTTGTTCCTCTATTTATGGTACAGGTCAATGTGTTACGGAAATTTTTTGAGGAAAAAAAAAAAGAAGAGCAGTGTTTGATTTTTCAGCATGTGGTAACACAGTGCTTCCATTCCTGTAACCCCCCCAAGTAGTTTGCTACATGCACACCTTATTCCTGTGTAACCTTTTCTATACATAAATATTTGCATAAAGTGTGAATCTTGATATACAATAAAAAAAAAAAACCAAACAACAACAACCAAACAACAACAAAACAATACCCCCTATTCTGTTTATTCTCTGAACATTTCTCCTCCATTCATTCAAACAACTTCCTCATATTTTTTTGTTCCTGGATGTTCTACCTACAGCTGATTCTCCTCAGGTAAAAGAATTGATGTGTGTTTCCATTATTGTACTTGGAGGAAAATATTGCACAGTGCTGAGCTGGCGTTGTGGAGAAAAGAATGTACCTGTTCCCTCAGGGGTTGTACTTCTCCTGCCTGTTCCATTGCCTGCTGGAAATGCAATTCATTTCACTGTCCCACAGTCTTATTACTTCGGTGTTATTTTTATCCGTATCACTGTTCGTTATTATTTGCCTTGTTATAATGCCTAGATACTTCTGCCAAGATCAAGACTGTACAAATGTGGCCTGAATCTGCCAGTAAAATGTTGCTTATTATAGTGGAAGAGGTAGGAAAAAGAACAGAGAAAGTGAACATTATTGTTTCAGGTTTATGTAGAGAATAAGCCAATCTCAGGGAGATGTTCTCACATCTGGGAGTCTAGTGCTGGTTTGAATGTATGTCCCACTGCTCCCAAAAGAGATGGCAGATGTGACAGCCACAGTCCTCTGGAGGCTGTTGGACACATCTGGGAGTGCAAAGAGCTGCCTGCGTTTAGGCAATCAGACGCCTCTGTTCAGCCTACTTGAGGTCACTTGCTTAAGGTTCTTCAAGAAATGTACAGCAAAATGTGCTTCAATATAAATCCCATAATTTCCAGTTCACTGTCTTAATCACAAATTAATTATTCCTGGTTTCAGCTTCTCTTTTTTTGCTTTCTCCCAACCACCTACACTACTGCTGTTATGAAGTGAATTATCCTTTCTTGCTTTAAATTTTTCTTCTTTCTGTTTCGATCTTTGATTTTGGCTCCAGTCCTCCTCTCTCGCTCAGCAGAAGGCTGAACGCTGCTTTGGTTGGAGGCTGTGTTACAGAATGTTCTCCACCCCTTCTGCTCTTTTGTTGGCATCTCCTCCTACCCCCAGCATGCCAAACAACTCCAATGCTCTCTGAAGCACAGGGATCGCTAGCCTTTGTAATTCTCTTTTAGCCAGAGTGCCCGTAGCTGTTGGTAGACGGCAAACAGGTGATGTATCAAAAAACTCATTTCTGTGAAATACCCACTCACAATCAGTTCTCCAAGATAATTACATATGTGTGAACAAAAAAATTATTCTGATTCATGTCAGATGGATTTCCTTTTAAGAGTCATGTTATACATTTATTTCAGGCAAGATTAGGTAGAAAAGACTGACCTTCTTAAAGCACTCTGTTATTCTCTACAGTCGCATTTTTCTTTCTTTTTCTGTCACTAAGAAGTCATTCCATTTCTGTGTTGACATTTTTATCTTCTTTTTATAGCCTTTCCAAAAGCCATGTCACTTACTGAACTTTTGCTGACAAACAAAAGGAAAGAAAAATGTCATGAACCTCCAGAAACAGCAAATGGCAAGGGCATGCTGTATTATTCAGATATGGTTGAATAACTTTTTAGCATTCATTTCTCATTTCACTCCTTTAGTTCCACTATCTTTTCCTTCTGGTTTTGCTTTAATTCTCTTCTACCCAGTATTTTTGACTCATCTGTTTGTTCTGACACTTCCCTTTTTTTTCCCATAATTTTTTTTATGATCAACACTTCTTTCTTTAGAATTAACCTATTTGATTAGTTCTGTCCTCACTTTCATTTAGCCTCTCTGCCAACCCCTTCAGGTATTATATTGCTATGAAAAAAATTTTATGTAGAAAATTTCCTAAGTCCACGGCATCTGCTATTCATCAAAATGTCTCTGTCAATGTGCCATTTTTTTGCTTTACATTATCAAATCTGGACCAATCCATGTTATTTACCTACTTAACAACCACCTTATGAACAAATGTAATTTTAGGATTGGAGCATCTTGTTCTAACGCCAAGCTAAATGGCCACCACTAACTTAGCTAATGTAGAGCTGCCAGAAAAATAGTTTTTCATGAGAATCAGAATTAGTGGCTGATGAGAAAAGTTATAATGATACTTCTTATTCCACTATGAGAAGTCAGCCTCTGAATATGCGTTTTTTTAGAGCAATACTGTAAATGGCATTGTTGTTTTTTGTCCTTAATATATCTGTTGCATGGCCTCCATAATAGATGCAGACTCTAGGGGGGCTGAAATTGCTTTAACAGCACCTCGCCCCAACTCGTTTGAATGTCACTCTCCTGCAATATGGGTCTGATGCTTTTCTGCCAACAGCACATTGCTGAGTTGGTCTCCAGCCAGGCCAAAAGCTCGGACCAGGTGTTTGGAATATATTCGACAAGCCTCTCTGAAGAGCTTGAGAGCCATCTGATGCCGTGAGATCATGGGCTGAGGAGTGCTGCTTTGGTTTCGTGTGCTGCTTCGGTCTGCTGATAAAATATCCACACCGAGAAAGCCACTACTATCACAACACAGCCAGTGAAGGCGCTGGCTGAGCTCATCAGGTACTCCCTCCTCTTGAGACTACAGATAAATGGCCAATGAGGAAGCTGTGTGATTTCATCACACTTCGGATCTAAAAGTGGCTATGGAAAAGCATATGGCTTTGCAATTGTTTTTGGTTGGTTTTTTAGGTTTTATTTCTCTCTCCTTCCCTGCACAGACAGTTGCTGTCATCTTCACGAGATCAAACGTGCACTGGTGTCATACTTGATGCTGAAATTCACACCTACTTTCCTTCAGCAGCCCCAGCCAAACTTTAAAGAATTTCTAACTGCTGAGGATTTTTTTAGAAGGTATTTGATCATTATGCTTTTGGCAGATTTAATTTTGAAAATGAGGTGATGTAACGAATTAAAGAAAAGGGGAAAAAAAAAAAAAAGCCACAGGAGACTGGGAGAGCTACTGTTTCACACCCAAAGAACAACTGTTGAATCTTCGTTCTGCAACCGCCCGCAGCCAAACCCCCGATAAAGCAGAAAGATCTGTAGGTGTCCCCTGAAGGGCGGAATCCTGCGGCGCTGGGGGCTCGCGCTGAAGGAGCCTCCGGAGCCCCGGGAGTCGGGAGCCGGGCCAGGACGTGCCCACGAAGGGAAGGTGTGCCTGCGGGGCGGGGCAGGGGCCGCGGGGGAAGCCGGTGCTGAGGGCAGGAACGCCGGGGGGCGGGCGGGAGAGCAGACAGGGATTTTCGTCCCGGAAAGGGGCAGGGATTCCGCCCGGCTGGGCAGGCGCCAGGGCGCTGCCGAGGGCGGCGGCTTTCCCGGAGCGGGGCGGGGGCGGCGGTGGCGGTGCCCGGTGCCGGACCCGCGCCTCCCTCCCTCCTTCCCTCTCTCCCTCCCTCCTTCCCTCTCTCCCGGGCCGTGAGGGAGCGGCCGCGCCGGGTCACCTTCCCGGCCGCCGGCAGCCCCCCGCCGCCCCCGAGCCGCCGCCATCCGCCGCTGCGGGCCGTCCCCGCCCCGGGGGAGCGGGTGCCCCGGGGCATGAGCTGCGCCTCCGGGAGCGTCGTGCTCCCTGCCGAAGAGCCGCCGCGAGCCGCCGCCGCCCCGCTGGAGCTGCCGGCCGGGGCGGGGGAGGCGAGCGGGGACACCCCCGAGGAGGGCGAGGGCCGGAGGGGCGGCTCGGAGAGCGGGGCCGCCGGCGGCGACAAGCCCGAGACGCGCTCGGTGTGCAGCAGCAGCGAGAGCGGCAGCGGCGGCCACGCCGGCGGGGCCGGCCCCATCTGCAAGATCTGCTTCCAGGGCCCCGAGCAGGTGAGCAGCGGCGCCGGGGCGGGCGGCCGGCGCCCCGCACGCCTTCGCACCCTCGGCTCCGGGGTCGAGCCCTGTCCCTGGTGCTGATCTCGGCGTCGCTCCCCGGCAGGAATCGCCCTCCCCGGCTGCCGCTGTGCGGGCTGGTTGTGGCTAAAGCCTAAGGCGAACCTGTGCCGGCGCAAAGCTTTGGGAGAATTCAGGGATTTTGCCGTGTGTGGCTTGCACGCTGGGTGTCCTCTGGCGGTCGCGCTCCCTGGTTCACCTCTGAGGGACTCCACACAGTACGAATTTCTCAGGTTTCTGTTAGACTTTAAAATGAGAGTGTTGGCTTACAGATAATGCTGAGAAGACCTCCAAGTGTCATCTCTGTCGTGACGTTACTGGCATAAGAGCAGCAATGGATCTGTAACTAGCGTTTTATAACTTGTCTTGGAGTTGGAAAGAAGAGAATAGCTGATTTATATAATACAGAAACTACTGGGGGAAGTGCTTATTTACATTATTTAAGGTCCTGGCTGACAGCTGGCTAGCTGGACAGCACAGAGCTGTGCTCCAAGAGCAATGTTCTCTTGGAATCGTGACATCACACATTTCTTTCTGAGTGATGACTTCGAATAGCTGTTGTAGAAGTGTATCCAACCACTTTTGGTACCTTTTGAGGTATTTGAAATGGCTGATGGTACTGTTGTTTAATGCATGGTAATATTTCAGTTGTTTCACATAGGTATGTGAACATGTGTAGACAGCTGACTTTTCTCAGTAGAAGCAGCTAGGTATTTTTAAGACAGTTACATTTTTGAGTATTTCATAGCCAAAAATACATGCTTTTCCAGATAGTGAAATTGAGATCAGGTCATTGTTACAGACCCCTAAAGATTTTGGTATTGAGTGTACATGTGTGTGAAAGGTTCCTTTAAAGTTGATGTTTCTGTATTGCCTTTCCAGGGTGAATTGTTAAACCCTTGCCGCTGCGATGGCTCAGTACGATACACGCATCAGCTTTGCCTCTTAAAGTGGATAAGTGAAAGAGGGTCATGGACCTGTGAACTCTGCTGTTACAGATACCATGTTATAGCCATTAAAATGAAAAAGCCTTGTCAGGTAATTTGTTCTTTTTTAAAAAAGTATGTCTTTGCAGTAATTTTTTTTAAATGTAATTATTCTTACTTTTACTTCCAAGGTTTTTGGAAAATGCAGCAGAAGATCCTATATGCCTCACCAGCTAGCACTTGCACCCACTTGAAGTTGGTTTTTAAGACCAGTTACATACACTACATGTGTAGTGATTTGGTTCTGTTATGTTCTTCTAGTTTTTGGTTTGTTGGAGAAATGGTCTTTAGAGTTTGGTAAATTCTGTAAGTAGTTAAGTCATGTTGAGATGTGACAGAAAACTTGGATCTCCCAGATTAAGTTCCTAAACTTTAAACATGTCTTTACTGTTTGTTCAAGACTCACTCAGAGGTTGATTTTGTTCTTTCTTCAACTTGGGGTCCAGAGGGGAGAGGGGAAGAAAGCTTCTGTTGTCTGTCATCTACTGTAAAAATATAAAAGGAGGTGAATTATCAGTCTTGGCACAATTCAGAGCAGTAGAGCACTCTGAAAGTTCTGTCCACCAGTAGCTGTTTCAGGAGCTGAAATATGCAGTAACATTTTCCACATCTCTGTTTTAGCAGCCTCAGAACATGAGATGCGAGTTAGAGCATTGTAGTAGTAGCATGTTCAGGGAGAGGTGGGGGGAGAAACCTAAAGCTCCACCAGATCTCTTAGGGAAGCCTTAATACCACTTTGCATATCAGAATTCTTTAGAGGCTTTAAATTCCATCTTGGAAATTATGCTTTATAACATCTGAGGAACACATTTAGTAAGATAATTGTATCTTTTTTTAGTTTTGATCCTAAGAGCTCAGAGATGATGGAGCTCTCAAAGGCCAGAGCACTCGGGTCATTTTTCTGTGCCTGTGTTTGATTGGAATTTTATAGAAAAGACATGGTTGGATGGTAATGGCAGTTGTGTGAACGTGAGAAGCACTCCTTGGATACAGAATATCTCAAGTATTTGCTTACAGCTGTTCAGATTATGGGCAAGTACTTTCAGAGCCAGTAGACTTCTATTTTTTTTCCTTCATTAATTCTCAAAGGAAAGGTTTTGGTAAACTTTCCTGGAGGGAATCTTTATGATGGAAAAAAGTAAAGGATTTGTAAAACAATCCAGAAAATGAAGGTGGTAGATTCTGTTTCTACACAGACATTGTTTGGCATGGGGTTTAATCCTTTTGGCTTTTTCTAACCTTTGAAGAAGTCTTTCTTTTTTGCATATCCAAAGCAATCTCATCCTTTTCGTAGAAAAGATAACAATAGAAATAGTTTGCAATTATAGTATCTGAAAATTGTTGTTAGACAGCAAAGACATGACACAGTTGCCTGCAAAGAGGCATCTAGTACTATTTGACATGTCCTAAGGTAGTCAAAATGTGCACACAGAATAGCAGATATGACAGAACTTATTAGGGACTCTGGAACTGCAGATGGAGGCCAAGTGGGTATTAAAGGACATCTGAAAGTCATTAGACATCTACCTGTGGACAGCAGAATCAAGCTCAGGTTTGAAGAACAGCTATTCAGTTTCTGTGGAAAAGCAAAGCAAAGCAGAGTCAGTAGATGACACAGTAGGCAACAAAGTTTGGCCAAGCTTATAAGGGAAGTAGAAAGAAATTGAAGAGACAAAAGTTAAATGCCACTCATTGCATTAGTTGTTGCCTTTTTTTTTTTTTTTTGTGGAGTTGGAGGTGGGGGAGGGAAAGGAACCAGATTCATGTTTCTCATTCAATAGCTTAATACTTGGTTTATTCTTAACCATGTTTTTAATTTTTTAGGTAAGTCATTTAAGTCTGTCCTTTCTTTCTTGACAAAATAGCATACAGAAAGATTTCATGGAGTTGCAACTCAAATAATAAGTTGGACATATAATCCTGAGGTCAAATTCCTGACACCCAAAAGATCACCCATCTCTTTGAGGAAACACAGTAGTACCTTTCTCAGTTTCCTACACAGAATATTCCTCTTGTAATAGCAGAATCTTAAAGGAAGTCTCAAACTGCAGTCATCTGTGTAATTTTATAGGGGGAATCAGTCTTAAAATGCACTTACTCACTCCCCCATACTCTTGACTGTAATAATATTGGCCACTTTTAGCAACTGACTTGGCTTAAACTTTTGGTTCTGAGTAGTTTTCTACACTACACAAAAGCTTGTTTTAAGGTAACTTTTTGGTTAGTTTTGGCAAAAAGCTGAGTGACACCATTTCAATACAGAAGGAAGTTGAAACATCATCAGCTGAAGTAGTGAGTGTACTTAGAAGTTCCCAAAAAAGCAGGCCTTCTTGGATTACATTAGATACAGTAATTGGACAGGAGTAGTTTACTCTCTCAACAACCAGTAGTCCGCCTCATACATCTTCCCAGAATTGTCTCTACCAGTCTTTTACGTATTAGAATTTTGTAGAGAGTGTCATAGGAGAGAAAACTGGTGCTATTAACAAAAATAGCTTTTTCTCAGGTGAATGCAGATTTGTACCAGGTCTACTCAAACCTGGTCTATTTACTCTCAGGTCTGTGCAGATTTACTACAGCTCCTCAGGTTTGCTTTCATCTCATGTATTTAAGGAACTTTACAATGTGTAGAGACTTAAGAAAGAAGAGGTTTTTCTATATTGTCATTCAGAATGTTGGAATAGAAGTGAATATTCCATTTAATAGCTAATGTGTTCTGTGGTTTCCATTGCTTCATGGAAGGCAAAGTTATCTTCAAAGAGTGTGTCTTCTGGGGCAGCGCATTCAAGAAACAGAATATTTCTGTTTCGATAGAAATTCTTCCAGTGTCAGTGTGCCAGTTCGAGATTCAGCAGCTACTACATAATTCACTTTTAAGAATCTAATCCTGGAAACACATAGGTTTTATTATGGAAATAAACCTTAAAACATAAACAAAACCCCAAATTAACCCATGGGCTAGCAGTGGAAGATGAGCCCACAAACAGGTTAATGACATTTGGTATGATGCATAACAGAGATTTGGAATTTTTCAGTATCCTTCTTAGGATCATATCAGAAAGACTTATTTAACTTTGCACTAGTCCATTAATGAAAATACACATTCATGTTGCTGGACTTGCTCCATTGGCAGGGTGGAATTTGACCCAGTAATAGGCAGGGCTATGTTAATAACTAGAAAATTCCCTTACTGCCCCTCAAACTATAATAAAAACTGCTTTGAGCAGGAAGTTTTGGAAGGACTTAAAAAGGAGAAAGAAACTTCAAATGTATGACTTGGAAATTAAACTCATTTGGAAGTATATTTGAGATTAACAAAAAGAAAAAAGTGCAAAAAGAAATATTTTATTAGTTTGTTAAGGTTATAATTTGTACAGATTTCCTTCCTAAAGGAAATATATTCCTAAAAGAACTATAAACACATTGTTTTATTTTTATTGGTGCTATCTAATTTTTATGCTGTTAGAAGATTAGTTCATGGGCTTGCACTTAAGTATGAATGTGTATTGAAGAATGCCAGTGCTCTTGTAAGATTCAGAATTAATGTTTAAAAGTGGAATAGAATCATGCAGAGGTAGAGAATATATACTTTGGTGCTAAAACCTGTCACTTCTATAAGTGAATAGTAAAGATATTTAGAGAGTAGCCTTTTCTAGACTGTTAGTGTAGTCTGTCATAGAATAGTGTTATGTTAGATGTTTGATAAATCCTGTACATTAAAACATTATATTCTGGTACTTTGGTGAAATGGACCTATTCCAAAAGTGATACAGTAGATAGATGTGCTAATTTAAAACCTAATTGTGTAGCAGTTCAACACCTTTTCTGATACCAGAAAGATCATAAAACTTATTTTAAAAAGTAAATGCTTACTTGTTAGGCCTGATTTCTTAAAACGGAAAAAATTAAGGTGGTACTTTTCAAAAGGTAAGGTTTCACTTTTCCAAATTTTGTTAATGTATGTAATCTTCACTTATTTAAGAAAGCTCACTGGCATCAAGTAGATAAGCATGAGTAAAACTGCATAGCAGACTGCAGGTATGTGAATGCATGTTACACTAAAAAGTGCAAAAGTCAAGTTCTTCAGCTACTTCAGTATGGAGGTCAGTGTCCAGAAAAAATTGTGTAGGAAATGTTTAGTAGAAGTTTTTGCTAATGACTATGCTCAGCTGAATGACAGCGTTAAGTTCTTCTAGGCATAACTAAGAAGGGGAAAGGGAAAAGGCTGAAATCTCCAATTATACATTCTAAACTGCACAATGTACCAAGAACAATCTATTAATGTCTCTCCCTGTACTGAAGATCCAGAAGAATACATTGTGCTATTCTGTATGTCAGTGGACAAAAAAGAACAAAAAGGATTGTTCTAATATTGGACAATTTACAAAGAAATTTGAACAAGAGATAAGGAACAAATCTATGATACACTAGTGCTGGTACCGAGACCGCTGGTACGCTAGCCATTTCTAACAATAATTCAGTTTTTGGCATCTCAAATGGGATGTGTTTTAAGAGGCTTCTTAAAAAGAAAATCATGAAGCTTCGCAGGCACCCTTTGAATATGAAGGCACTATGCAAGAGCTGTTGGAAAATAAAATACTTGGCTGAGACAGGTATAATGAACTGAATGGAAATGAGATTCAATGCCTGAGTAGTCATTAGAAGGTAATTAATACTTCAATAAATGCCTGGAAGGACTTAAAAAATCAAATCAAGTCATTTTAATTTCATGTGATGGAGAAGAAGGTCCATCATAGTGGAGAAAGAAGGCCAGTAACATGGTCAAATTAGTGGAAAAAAAGGAATTGCACTTGAAGCGGTTTTGCACTTGCTGAGAAAATTACTTTTGTCATGAGCTTAGGAGATGTGTTATAGTAATTGAGACATAAGACAAAAGTAATGATGAGAAATTAATTTTTTTATGTATAAATGGTCTTAGATATTAATTAGAAAGTACATGCAAGCTTTAGAAATATTGAGAACAGGAAGATCAATATAGATATTTAAGTTTAAGATCATTCCAAGAACAAATTCGTGTTTTGGAGCAACAAA